TCGTAAAACTCCTTGCCAAAATTCGGAATCTCACGCCCTTCGAGGTTATATCCTTCCTCCGCATCATCTTGTAAACTTGTCCTGATTCCTCTCACGTCCATCCCAAAGAACTGTCTCCCAGATTTTTGCGCCACGCTTTGCTTCCTCCGTCGGGTATAAATATCGGCGTGGGCGTGTATTTGGTGACCAGCTGAGGCCAGAGAAGGTCGAAGAGTGGTGTGGTCATTGGAATGAGGATGTACTTGGTCGTACTTGTAGACTCGATGAGACGAAGATAGGAGTCAAACTCGTTGGGAGCGAAATAACGACGTGGAGGAGTAATTTGGATTTTTGCCTCGTGGGCCAACTTCTTTGATATTGCGAAATTTGACTGAACTTGGCTCTGGGAGAATATTTCACTCCCAGGTTCGTAGAGGACACCGCGTACAGGTGTTCAGTCTTGCCCTCCTACGCGTAGGTCTGCAGCGCCCAGGTGACGTGCGTCCGGACGCAGGTAGCTATATCGGCGGATCAAGTCTTAATATTGGTGTGTTTAGAATTTGTATTGTTCATTATATTATTCTGCCCGAAAGCTGGTAACAGATATGTACCTTGGCCATCCGTGCGAGGCTTCGGAGGGTAAGTACACTCGACCTGCCCGAATTGCGGTGACCAGCCCTCTATCACCTTATCAATCTGCACTAGTGCACGTTGGATGAAGCAGTATCACAGGATATTTACGGTCCAAATGCTGTTAAGAGTGAGTGAGTGAGTCTTTATTGTCCTAAAAAGTCTATAAATATGTAAGGACATGCAGGTCCTTTCTGCCTACAGGCCGGGAGTATCTATGCTTCGGGTAGTGTACTCCCTCCTTTGCCTCCCTCATGACTTCTTTCTATCAGTAATACCCCCACAGGTCTTCATTCGAGTACAAACTAGGAGGAGCCGTTATCCCGTCATGAAACGCTATTGAGAGAACGAGCATGATATACAGATACTGAAGAGTTGCTCAGCACACACAAATGTCACTATTGCTGACCTGCGCTCGCTGAACGACGAAGAGAAAAACCTAAGCTAGTGATCGGCGCGGTTCGGGAGATTTCTCATAACATTGCGACAGTCGCCAAGGTAGAATGAATGAATGAAATGAGGCCTACACGGCTTATCGGCATTTAGTAAAGTGTAATTACGTGTCACAACTCGGTCTCGCGTGAGGAACTCAATCGAACGAGGTCGAGCCAGTCTTATCACTTTCCAACCCATCAATCAAGGCCAGTCAAACCGAGGTGACATCTCATTAGAGGCCGATGGTCCTTGTCTCGTACTTCCCGAACGATTGCTGTGATATTTACCGCTCTAGGGGATGCGCGCGCTCCATGGCTTGACAAGTCTACGCAGCGGGCACTGACTTACAGACTCCTTCATTTGGTGGTTGGGGCTTTCGCGCGAGCATGGATTAAAGACAACGAAGGCGGGTCAAAGACGACTGTGCTAGATGCTACGCGGCTCAGATATCACTGGATGCTTGAATAGAAGACGTGCATCTGCCGTAGAGTCGGAGAGGGCAAGTGAACGATGGGCATGGGCAAAAGGGACAATGATGGTGCAGGCATCTCCTGCATTTTTTGGGTGGGCACAGTTCCACCTAAACATCGTCGTATCACTGACAAGCCATTGCAGCGGCAGGGTTATTGACGGGTAGCTAGCTGTAAGGGGTGCCCTTCAACTATCAGCCTGCGCAACTGCGAAAATCACCACTACCTCACCCCGACAACGTTGTCGCTATCGCTGGGGCTAGCACGCACAGCAGATGGCCCGTCGTGTCTCGGGGATCATGGGTTTGCGACGGAGCTACGGTCCTTATGGGATGGCAAAGGTAAAACTACAAACTGGGCTGTTTAAGGGATTAGCCCTGTAGGTACGCTTGGGCTAGCTAATAATAGGTTAGTCTGTCTCTCCTTATTATTCCACTCGTCATAAAAAGTGGTCCGTTCGTTTTTTCACAACGATCGGTCAAAGAAAGGTTTTCTCGATGACACCTGTCTGCTTAATCAAAAAGCACTTGATTCCCAACATCACTATCAATTCATCTTCTAATCTAGCAAAAAATGTCTCTCGAAAAGTCTGCTTCAGAAACCAAAGTTCGCAAGCAGCTAACTCTCGATCAATGTATTGATATAAGAACATTAAGAAGACTTGGCTTCACAAGAAGGCAAGTGCAATTTGCGTGTGCTCGAGAGACTGAGAATCCCGCACCTCGCAAAGGACCCTCACCAAGAGTAAGCGCGGAACAAGTCAATGAGCTTGAGGCTTTTGTCAGAGAATTTCCTGAAAATCGACAGATGTGCTATTTGGAACTAGCGACGGGGCCCTTCAGCCACTGGGGATGCAGTGAGCGCTTTCTTTCAAATGCCCTCAATAAAAGAGGTTACAGCAGATACATTTGTCGCGAGAAGCCTCCGTCAAGTGTGGTTAACATGCACGAAAGATGAATATAGGTAATTAATATAAATGGAGGGTACACAAAGTATTGGGATGGAGCAGACCAACACAAAACATGTAGTACGCTTTCATTTTAGTCGCGAGCCATACTGAGGGCTTCAATGTATATATATAATTCATTATCCTGATTTGGCGCCTTGAGGCCCATGCAGGTTTTTATCGGAAGATATGTACTTTGAAGTAGGATGACTCAATTTGACGATTAGAACACTCACACTCAGATTTCATTTGCAGATACCTCTCGAGGTTAACCCTCAGGGCGTATAACCTCTTCCGTGCATATCCACCACAGGGAAAGGGTTAAAATCCCGTGACTATCCGAGTGTGCTTTCATCATGCCACAGGTACAATATCACTGCGAGAGAGAGTGGTGTGGGGATTTTACTGGATTCGAAACAGCTTTCTCCTGTCTCGAATGGGCTAGGTGTTCAAGCTACCCATTATCTACTTGGGAGAACGGCCCGGACGGTGTATCACTGCACCATCCAGCCCGGCGTCGATGTATACTTTTGTGAGATAGAGCAATCATTTTTTAAATCGAGATGTATCTTTGAATGATATCTATTGATTTTTTTGTTATTTTTTTTTATATTAAAATGAGGAGCGATTTACATTTGCTTAAGAGTTGAAAACCATCCCCATTAATTTTGACAAACATAGAAGATCACTGGATAATACTCTTCCTTGCATAACTAGTAGACGAACTAGACATGGGCCTGCACGAAGACCAAACCAATCAAATCCATATTTACAAGCATCTCACCCCAGTCAAATTGACAAATTAACATTTTCTATCCATAAGAGACTGTAAGCGTGAAGATCTGAACAGGCTGCGTGATGGAGAGAGGGTCAGGGAGGCGAGATGAAACTAAACAAACCGCGCCAGACAAGAAGCAAAGGCTCATTCGGTCCCTGATATTCTATCCGTGGGTTTACACTACGCCAAGGGGGTCGAAAATCATGGCGCTGTCAGCTGTGTCCCTTATGAACTGCGAGCTCTCACCATAGGATCTACAGGGCCGAGATGAAGTCACGCCCTTCGTCTATGAGCAGAGCCAACCCACGATGATGATGATGATGCTGCTGCTGCTGCGAGGGAGCAGAGTTTCTATCATGCCGAAGGCCACAACGGGAAAGAGAAGCTCGTTTGGTGTCTTTCTAACCATCACCCACCGTCGGGCAAACGAAAGACCCGACAAAACAGTGCAAAATTCGAGGCAGTCTCTAATTCCAACATCTAATCCACTTGAGCTTCTCAGCCATCCCATATCTGCAACGGCTTGTGGATGCATGGACAGGCCACTCGACGACCATTCCTCATGACCAAGACTTTTCTGACATTCTTTCACAACATTCGAGTTGAGCTGTGGCATGGATCAGGGGAGAAGCTAGAGAGGGGCTGGGAAGATTGAAAATCGCTTCTGGGTACACATAAGTCTGCTGCTCCTGGCTGGTTGGCATTTCCAGACGCCGTGGAGGCGCCGTACTAGGGAGTACACCACAAGACCCAGAGTAGACCTACGTTTCATGATATAGCCAAAGACCCTATCCGAAAGCAAACTTGCACACCTAAAACGCGGAAAAGCTACGAGTATACTCACCTGGCTTAGTATGTCTACTGTAGCATATTTACTTGTTAAACTGTAGGCAAAGAGTCGACCTTCATGCATATCCTAGGGCGCCATTGACAGACTTGTACTGAGACCGTAATTAGCGTGTAAAATCATTTCTCACTCGGGTCAAAATTTTCAATAGATAAGCGTCTACTTCTGTCTACATGAATAATCAGATTGTGCGCACAGTTGATCAAAGCGACACTGGTTGTTGAACCGTCCAGCATGTCCACTGTAGCTTCAACGGAAGCGAATATCCAAGCACTGATATCGTCTCACTATTGTGACGACTCAATCTGGCCATGAATATCTGTGGTTAAGCAGTCACTCTACAGGCCTGCTAGGTTGGCGAGGAAATAGACGCATGGTAATAGGCATCTGTGTTTAGTGCAAACGCGGGGTCCAATTCGGAAATAGGAGAAATGCTGCAACCTAACCCGAGAAACTGGATGTTTAAGCACAGCAATCGACTATCCGTGGAGGGTCTCAACTGCCACTTAGAGTTAGTTGTATAATACCCGTCACAAATTGGCCCTAAAGTTGAAGGGTAGGATGAGAAAACCGTGAATCGTTTGCTTAATTTGTAAAGCTAAAATGATGTTACAGGTTCCCAGAGTACCCCTTATTAATGAAAGGATAACATTCCCTATTAGACAAAGAAAAGAAGCGCTTAATAAGTTTCAATAACCCTCAAGGAATCCTACTCCAGGCCGACCATTCTTGGGCAGGACACATGCTCCATGTTACTCGAGTTATCCCAGGGCATCCCAAACAACCGGGAAATTATCGTAAAGATTTAGAAAGAGGGTATCAATTTTCAATGAGCCCTGTGAAATCGCCATGCACGCACTAACGCCCTGTAAACCATCCCCATGACCAATCTGTGGTCACTATCTGCGGCATCAGCTAGGCCGAGAGCAATTCAGAAGTGATCGATGGCTTTCGTTGGTCAATAATACGTCCAGCTCCTCGTACATTTTTCGCTAGATGTCCCGTTTCAACGCGATCTTGAATCATCTCATCTAGTATCCGACTCATCTCGTCTACGCTTTTATTTCTCTTCCGTATGTGAGGTAGAGGTCCTGAGGTGAGACTTGACCGCATAGATGATACTCCGTTTTGTGAAGACTGGCTCAAGGGAAAAGTATATTCACCAATTGACGTGTCTTTATAGACCGAGTTCACAGTCTCGTCCGTGTTTGGATTTGAAGAGAAACTTTCTTTGTCAGGATGTTCACGAGTTCTGTGAATATTCCGTAGAGCTGAAAGCATTCGATCCTTGTCTTCCAGACGAGCCTTCAGTTCGGCTATCTCCGTATCTCTTTCTCTAACAAGGGTTGCAAGATTGTGATCTCCTGCTGCTGTTAGGCTTTTTCCGGCACTCGAGACGCCACTCGACGCCCTTGACATACTTGATCGACGAGCTTGAATTAATCGTTTTTCCAGAGTTTGACAGTATCGTGTTTTGTCGGCGAGGTCTGCTTGCAAAGCTCGATTCTGGGCAGCCAACGAGGCATTGCCATCTGCAAATTCTCCGATGGATTCATCATCTTCAATTGAGTCGTGCGAGAGACGTTTACTCGGAGCTACTTGGGAAGTTCGTTGACCAACAGTAGAAACAGAATTTTGGGAGCTAGTTCGCTCCAAGGTATTTCTCACAACTGTTGATGGAGTCAAGGAGGACCTCGACCTCGAAGATATGATCGAGTTATGGCTGGTCCCAGAAATCAAAGAAAGCCTCTGATTTAAACCTTGGGGATAATAGGGTCCACTGAGGTTGACACCCGTTGACTTTGAGCTTAGAATCAATCGGTTCAAGTGTTCGATTCTTTCCTTGAGCGCTGTTCGTGCTAAGTGCATTTCCAACATTTGCTCTTCATGTCGCTGCTCTGCCTCTTTCTCTCTCACCCTCTCGTCATCGTCAACTTTTGATTTTGCTTGTGCTTCCAGTTGGCTTCTGAGTTCGAGTATTTCCATTCGATATCTTTCTAGGAGTACTCTAGAGCTTCCATCTACTCCTGCACCATGAGAGTCATCTGCCTTTTTGGCGTGACTGATGATGTTGTTTTTTGCTCTGGAGGCAAATTTCAATGTGTTGAGTGTCTCACCAGCGTGTGTTGTCGAAGCTGCGGCACTGCCAGACACCCCTATTTGGATAGTACAGAGAATGCTTACTAACGAATTTCCCGATAGGGCACCCTGAAGAAGTCGAGTGAGCTTACTATCACGATATGGCAAGTGCTTTCCATCTTTATCGGTTGGTTTACCGTCCTTGTCTTTGTCACCAGAAAGCTTTGCAATGACAGTGCCTAGCGTAAGAAGACTCTTATTAATGTGGGAACCTTCCGTTCGTCTCTCTTTCGTTTCAGCAGCTCTCTCCGAACCGGCCAGATCGATAAGACTTAACGTAGAGACCCTTACGCCTCCTGGTAGGACGGCTGAGCGTTTGGTTTCGCCTAGGGACCCAGCTCCTGGAATTCTCTCCCGACTTTCGACTACAATCTGTACCACTGCGTGGCTTCGAGAGCTCCTTGAGTTAAATTGAGTGCTTGAAGTTCTTCTAGCCTGATCTCCTCTAGCGATCACTCGAAGGAGTTGTGTAGGACTTTGCACTATTTCTTCCTTAAGAGAGCTTGCATAAACACCTCTTTTGCTGTCTTCCCTCAGCTTTATTTCCTCTTGCTGAATTGAGCCAGCTCCATTCCCACTTGGAGGACTCAAGAGATCGTGTATTTTCTCATTGTATATTTCGAGGTAGCTAACACGGAGAAGAAATTCTCGTGAGGGAGTTTCGCGGATGTAGGAGAATATGTCAGTTATGGCGAGTGGAATTACTCCAGGTGAGGATGCAGTGCCCTGCATGGAAAATGTTTTTCCTGTTCCCGTCATCCCGTATGCAAAGACAGTGCCATGGTAGCCTTCCATTACTCGGCGAACAAGTCTTTTGGCGGACGAGTCATAAACCCTTGAATTATTGTCATGGGCAGTGAAAACGTTGTCTATGATAGATGTTAATTTCTGAGTGAATTATATAGGTGTATACTGACCATAATAGTAATCGCCACCTTCACCCGCCCTGTACGAGACTAGTGCTCGCTTTCCATCAACCATCCATTCTCCGTCTGTTTTATTACTATTACTGGCACTAGGATCTGGGCGCACTCTTACGCTGACCAGAACATTACCCTTTAATTCAGAAGATTTAGGCATGGTGGAGTCTGATACTGAGTCTGGGCGATCTCTTCCGCGATCAAATTCATTCGCTTGATCTGGTGTTATTAATGAGGTTGGGTATGAGTCTAGTGTTGATGAGCTACGACTTTGCGTCGATGAGGTCTGACTCAGTCGATATCCTGATTTCCGAGGTCTGGGACCACTGTAGTTGGAGTCGTTGTCACTATTCATGCTCAATGTTCCCGCGGAATTGTTGTGCTTGATGATTCGTTTAGGACTGTTACATTTACCATTTTGCAGGCGTGCGTTTTCTGTGTTTGTGGAATCCGATGATCCTGTTCTGCTTGTTCGAGCAGTGTTGAAACTGTTGCAGGATGTACTTCCTCCGCCCAAAGGGCTCAATGGTAAGGCTGGGGTTCGAAGCCCGCTTGGCGGATAGGGGAAAGCGTTAATACTTATTTGCTTTTTGATAATCCTAGGACCAACATTGATACTCGTATTTGATTTATGCTTTTCGGAAATTGTGCCTGAGGAATTAGATAGGGATGTGGATGCAGGCGGGCGAATTCCGCTTTTTGATAGGATAGGTGTCGAACTTCTACGCTCCGATACACTTGCGACAGGAGTGTTGACAGGATGCTTTGAATTTTTGAGAGAAATTGGTGATGAAGACACAGGGGATGTATTTTGGGATTGCGAAGAATGGGAAGTAGTGGTGGTCATTGTGCTTAGCAAGGCGTACTTGAGGAATCTATTGTTAGATCCTCTTCCTGAATACTAAAGTTGGGGAGGTTGGATTGAAGTGATTCCCTCTTTTGTTTCATGTAATTGGAACAAGGGTTCTACGTAGACCTCTTCTACCGTTCTTGAGCAGTAGAAGCTGGAATATCGAAGATATCGGGTTGTTATGAATCACGGATGGTCCAATAGCTACTGCAAGAGTTTCGATTCATTTACCACTAGCTGGCTTAGTTTGCTCGGCTTCTCCCGGCAGTCAGCTCATTGACATTTATTATCGGTCGGGTTTTCCATAAATATGATTAGTTTAACATCTACTCGCACTTTAAATCAGCCTAGACTCCAATTTAGATGTTTGCTGAGGTTATAATTCATGGACAGATGATTGCGGGATGTATTCCTCTGGCAAGGCAAGATTTACTCACAGTCAGAGCTCTCGTTTACTGAGGCGGAACAGTCATAAGATCGGCTTTTGGTATATGTAAAAAGCCAGATAGCCAGGCGATGGAGATTTAGAGGTGTGAATTTTCGCGCACACTAGAGTTCGGCAATCCTCCCGAGATTCTGGAGGGCTCTCCTCGTATCAAATTGATTCCGTGAATATTTAGGAGAATCAAAACATACTATCCTAGAGTCGTATGGGTTAAATCAACCTTGCATATCAGTCTTAGACGGCCAGCGGATGTGAGGGTGAACTAGAGGTGTCTTGAGCGCTGTCGAAGTTCTAACTTGAAATCTCGAGTCTATGTAGACGTAGCGGTTGTCAGTTCGAAGGTATTAAGCTGAGATTTGATGGTACAGAGGAGTGAAAGTTAATGGTGGCGAAGCCGGTATGAATGAGTAGACTAGAAAACGGTTGGTCAAGAAGATTCTTCGACTCTGGGTCCGCGGTTTGGGTGCAATCAACGAGAGGATGGAACCTGAAGGAGGCAGAATATTGGTTGGAGCTAAATGAGGTTAAGTCGTCGGGGCAGAGGGATGGAGAGGCCCGGGGGATAGAGCAACGAGGATTTTGGAAAATGTAACAAGTAGAAGATGGAGAAATGAGCCGGATTGAGAGAGACCGCTAAGGATGTAGAGTTTCGAGCAAGCCGCTGAGAGTGCATCAGGCACATACAAGCGGAATGGGGCCTGTGCGGGGATTTGAAGGGAGCCAGACCCTACCTCCACTCCTACTGAATAGGCCGAGGATAGTGAGAAGGAAGGTGTGGAATGGTATGGGGGACGGGATAGTGTAAGCTGCTTGCAGACGTCGGAGACCTTACAGCTCGATTAGCTAGCTTCAGGTCTCACGCCAGCCCATCTGACTAAGACGAAGCTTGAGACTATTCTCTACATGCCAGGCCATGCATGAGTTTGGGATTACTACCTAGATGATATGAGGGACTATCTCTGTACGTTCGATCCGAACTGGCGCGTCGGTGGGATGAAAACCCTTGACTTTTCCCGACTGCAACGAAGAGTGATGAACTGGCTGAACATGAGGATGATACTTGATTGGACCATGGAAACAGCATGGGAATGTACAGGGCCGGTCGAGCGACATCTGCATCGCTTTTTCCAGCCACCCAGTGTTTCGAGCTGCGGCTTCCGGGCCCCCTTCTCACCCTCGCTCTTTCTCCCTCTCCAGTATACAGTTCCAGGTCGCCTGCAGCCCTATGAAGCTCAAGGCTGACCATGTAGGCGTGACAACCGGTAAATATGGTTCTGTGGGCTTTTCATTTCTTTTCAGCATTTCCGCTCATCGCCCTCACCTGGGACCTCTAGACCACGTAGTAAGCACTTTGATTCCCAGCCATCGTCTCTGCACATTCTCCAGATTTCGAGAGTCAGTGTCACCCTTCCAACGCAAGATCCATCCAGATCGCGGTCGAGGACTGCGTTTAATAAGGGTTGTGTAGATCCAAAATAGGAGGTCGCTGGCAGGCTATCCAGCAAAGATGGCCACTGCGCCGGCCGCGCCCCTGAGAATTGTCGTCACGCGACCACATCAAGTCCTCGGTGTGCTTGTGGACGTGGATAACTCAGGACTTCATTTCCCACACGGTTCACTACTCGAGGGCAAGAGCTTGCTAGAGAACGCAGGGCTTGAATCAAACGAGGTCGCTCCCCCCCCTCCAAACAAGCCGGGGAAACCGTCTTCACTATGAGACTACCGCGGTGCCGTGTAGACACTGTGATATGTTGACTCAGCTCAAAATGTCTCCGGGCCGGCAGGCCGGTAGATCAATCGAGTAGTGCAGCATCCTATCTCTAGTTCGCTGGGCAGCCAAGGTGCAGGACCACCAATCCCGCTATCTAAGGCCATGTGCATTGCATTGCTTTACAATAGCATCATCATCATCATCATCATCATGAAGGCCTACTGTTGCACCTTTCCTCTCATGTTGCGCCTACGCATGCCAATCGGCTACAAGAGCTCCGCGAGTGACTACCCGACGCCCGATGACTTGGCTGATGGCAAGCGACGGACCCCTGTGCGCCATCGTCTACAATGTCGCCCACACTATTAAGAATAGACGTCGAGATGTGCTTGCAGCTATGAGCTGACACTGATGTCGCCAAGGGTGAACTTCCCCCGCGAGCATGAGACTCTGAGCTAGCCCACACGCGCAGTAGCTCGGCCTCATGAGTGTCGAGCTCGAGGGGCACCTTCACCAGTACACCGACAATCGCTACACACCAAGCCTTGATTATTTCGAAGCCCGATAAAGGAAAAACTGTTGGCATGTAGATCCGTCTCGCAGTACACCAGAGGGGCGAATTCTTGGTCGACTCGAGCTTCGGCGTGGTTGGTGCTCTGGCCGCAGAAGGGCCGGTAGCTAGCTACTGATGACTGTGCACAAGTTCACCAATCATGTGACTCGGGTTGTCATCGGGCCGATTCCTACTACAGGGGACTTTGGCTCGGCATTAAGTCCTGACTCGGCGTATCCCGAGCGAAAATGATGCCACACCAGCTGCCGACGATACTTTCTATCCAAATGGCATAGCGTTGCTCTATCTCTGCTTGCTAGTGCAGAGTCGTGACTCCTCGCCAGAGATTATTAGCATGGGCCGAAAGTCTGACCTCAGAGAAAAACAGGAACTTCTCCCTTTCTAGTTGTCGCGGGACTGCAGTCTAGGGGAAGCCGCTCGACTCTTCACAGCATCGCGGACGGAAATGCTGGTCAATAGGCCTGCTTAATAGTGCTTCGGGATACTTTCCGGGGGATTCCACATATTTTAATTTGCCCGCGGTGTTGAGGGAGTGACCCCTGATACCCGAGACCTATGCGAGATAAAGCGCTACTGTAATCATCAGGGGCCGGTGCAGTCTATAACCACTTCAAACCCCAACTTGGTCCATGTATATGTAGAATGCATTCGCCGGGAGCCTTCCTGACCTAACCATATAGTTATCCTAGATCAGCTTAACCTCTCATGGTGGTAGACCCTGTGATTGTAGACTTTGAATTACATTGCTAAACACTTGTACTCTGACCTTACAGTTGGTTACTTCGTAAGCAGGAACATAGCGTATATGCACTGAAACTATAGCAGGTGCGTAAAGGTTTTGGTCCGAGTAGAGTTCTTCGTAGCACCTTAAATTGGAATGGGCCTCCAATTAACAGCTTTCACGCCATGAACATGACGGGTAGATTTGCGAAGAGAAAGTTTGCTGGGTGGCACGAAAACGATACTCACATTATCTAGTGACATCTCCAAGCACTCAACAGAAATCTTGACAATAGTTAACAGGTATGCTGAGCTACAATCACAAATTATCTATGTGCACGAAAGATCACCTCCCGCAGCTAACGACAGCGCCAGTCGCTCATTGACGGAGACAACATGCCTTGTGCATTAGTTCTCTGCATGATATGGAGCTACAAGGATCAATCTCGTTTCACCTTGAAACACGAGCAAGGTGCAAAGCTGGGTTAATTATTAATTCATTTTATTGTCCTGTCTGAGTCTATGACTATGTAGGACATGCAGGTCCTCTCTGCCTACAGGCCAAGGATACCTATACCAGTAGTATATCCCCTCCTATACCTCCCATACAGCTCCCCTCAAACAGTACCACCCCTCACAAGTCCTCATTCGATCATACACTTAGAGGAGCCCTTAGCCCTTCATTATCTCCCCTCTCCAGCCAACGAAACGATGGCCATTTGCGGATGTATGGCAGCCGGGAAAATTCGCAAAAACCACTGGGTGCGGGGCTCTTCTAATACCGACATTAGGAATAAATCCGAAGACATATTGCCCCTTCTGAAGCGTTCGAAGAGGCCGGCCAGCTGGGCGCTGCAGACTTGTGGGTACCTCGGGAAATTCAAACTCTGCCTTTCTAGCCTCCTTCCAACTCCTTCCCGAAGGTCGTAGTGAAATGTCAGAAAAGTCTTGACAGAGCGTGATTGCTGTATGGTAGCTTAGCCAGACTTCTTTTGTACCGTCCAGGGCGCTGGGGACTGCCGTTGACTCATCGACAAAAGAAGCCCTCCTGGCTAATTAGCCGAAATCTTGGTCTTGGCGCCCACAAAAAATCCAAAGTTGAAAACTCCTCGAAAATGACAGTCCCAGCATGGTCTTCAGAGACCTGTTCCCCCTTTCGCTCCACTTCTCAGCCGCTTGTTCTTCCTCAAGATGTATACCCCCATTAGAGCAGCAGTCCCCCATAAACCAAGACCCCAACTTTGTATTTTTCGACTTGATTTCCTCCTTGCGGGTATAAATAGGTTCGTAAATATGTAGAGAGTGATGGCCGGTAATGAATGAGGCAAGCTCCTGTTTGCAATTGGGGTGATGCCTTTATCGGTCGTCGAGGCGAAGTGATATGTGGTTAGATGGGGGTTGAGGACTCAGAAGATAATGATGAGTGCTGCATGGTTGAGAAGTCGTCAAATGGAGATATACATGTGTTTGCTTTCGACTTCGATTCGGATGCGATTCTTCTTGGCTATCCCAGATATGCAGAGCATACTGAGCGATTACACCGGCAC